TCCTGACTATTCTATCCATGTACAACACAAACAGGATAGGGGACAGGACGCAGCCTTGGCGGAGACCACTCCGAACGTTGAATGGTTTCGACTTAACGCCATTAACTCTGACACAGCACCTGCTATCAGAATACAGTGACTGAATGGCCCTTAGCAGCTGACCATTAATCCCGTATGCTCGCAGGCATCGCCACAGACCGTTGCGCGAAACCCAGTCATAGGCTTTTTCCAGGTGAACAAAGCGCATGTACACCGAACTGGCGTACTCCCACGATTTCTCAACAGTCTGGCGCACGACAGGTACACGGTCAGAGGTGTTTCGACCGACCCGGAAGCCACACTGCGCCTATTGTATCTTGGAGTCAGTTTTTCTGCTGCACCTTTGCGTAGACTTTACCTGGGAGGCTCAGTAACGTACTGCCCCTATGATTGGAGCATTCCTTGCGGTCTCCCTTCTCGAATGCGGGTACAATAACTCCCATTCTGCTGTAAACTGGAGTTTTTCCCATAGTCATCGCTGTTCGACAGATTCGTGTAAACCAGCGCATGCCTTGTTGGCCTAATGCCTTGAATGCCGTAAAAACTACTGTCAGGGTGTTTGTGTACGGAATTCGCCCTGATGTTCCCCATTGCGATCAAACAAAGAACGGCTGCCATTAGTGAATTGTGAGAATAAATCATTGTTTCTTTGGTTTGGTAATGCGTGAGTGTCAAATAGAAGTGGTCGTACTGTGCTGCGAACCGTAACCGCGAAGAAGTTGCAATACATAGGTGACTTTCGTTTAAAATAGAAATTGGAAATTTATTATGTATGTTATTTTCTAAATGGTGATGCCTAGCGTAAATGAACTAAATTCCTTAAAGAAATTCTACTTCCTTTGTCCTCCTCCAGCTGCAGTTTTAAACGGCACATTTTAGAGTTAAGCCGGAATCGATCAATGTCTCGTTTGCAGACTTTGACGGCGTTTTATTTCATATTTCCAATCCAGACAATGACAAGAACCTGCTGATGGTACTTTATGGATATTAATCATTGTTTGACGTTATCAAGTGGATCTAATTTTTGTAGCTTAGTATAGACCTCAAGTTTTACAAAGAGCTGCAGGAACATGGTGCCGATGAGGTAAGATTATGACGCTTTGTGTTTTTAAATTTACTTGATAAAAGACAGATTTAAGAGTATCTTGTTTATCTAAATCTGGATGATTTTTCTTTCTGTCTATTTTGTACTCTATGAACGACAGTTATAACAAGTGTCTATGAATATTGAGAAATTTGAACTTGTCACAATCGCCATTCTGAAAATGTAACAGGTTCGATTTATTTCACACCACGGATACAAAATTTATATAGGGATTAAAAATCGCTGCATCCAACCGACTTTTTAGAGTAAAGGTGTTATTGGTGGTAGTTTCCACTGCTGATGATGTCTTCGCTTGAGCAGAAAGGCAATCATTGACTGAAAGAGCTTCGGTAATGTGGATTATGTGTCATCATGAATTTGTGACGGAGAATTTTTCTAACGTCTGAATCAGAATGCTCTAATGATGAGCCATTGTGATCGGTATTTCAAACGTCGACTTGTGACTAAAGTCTTTTGGTTTAAATCTCCGTTGTGCTTTTACCCAGTGAATCGCATGATTTGTTCTTTCAACGCTTCTGATAAACCAAAACTTGGTCTTTCTGTACTAGGGGCGTTGCCCCAAGTTTAGCTGTTTTCTCGGTCGTTCTTCAGTTGCCTTCGTTTTTTCGAGGATAACATTGCATGATCCTTTGTCCAGAGGAAAGCGACATAGGACAAATAATTATCCAGCTTTCTTTGGGGATGAGCATGAACTGTAGTCACATATCGATCAGAAATGGATTGAACAAACCAACCGAAGAGTGCTGCTTTGAAATAACGGCTGAAGCACGGTGTGTTCCCCTTCTGTTGCTGTATTTCGTATCGGCCCGTTTGTAATTCAGATCAGCTGCTAAGGAAACCTAAAAATATTTAATTTACAAAAATGATAAGCGAGTTTAAGATATTTTTTAAATGTGTAAAACAGCTGTTTTTTAAGCAAGAATGATGCAATACGATTCACATTGCACGTTTTAAACAGTAGTACTGCTACACTTCATTGTTCCATTTGCGCTAGCGATAAAAAGTTAACATTCCGTGTTCACATATCAAACGGAATGATGAACAGTTAGTATTCCGTCTTTCCTTTAGGTACATCGGTGATCATCCTTTATATTTTTCCCTCAGTTTCTCAGTATGTCTATTTACATAGCGATATTGGTGAGAATCTGTAGAAACTGTTTTATTATACACAAGAAATATGGTATATGTCGGGTGAAAGACTTATACTGACGTTTCTGCCAGAATCTCGCAGCCTTCTTCAAGGTAATAAAGGTAATAGCTTTCGTTGCCTTGAAGAAAGCCGTGAGATACAGGCCAAGACATTCATATTGGTCTTTCATCCAATATGTCACCCTATTAGTTTTTGATATTAAAACCGTTTTTCGCTATTTCTTCAGTATGATTAGCAACGTACGAAAAAAGTACTTCACCAATATCGATGTGAATTGTTACTGAATGTAAATAGAATGAATACTGCAATTCGAAATGTAGCTATGTATATTGCCGTGTTGACAGTTCTTTAAGAGGTCGAATTCTGGAAGTACCAGGGTCGATTCCGCTTGATGAACCGATAGATCCTGAGTTGCAATCTGGGTCAGGGCTACTCGTCCTCCTTCCTTCCGAAATTGATAAATGAGTACCACTCTAGGGGAAGAAAGCTGGAAACCACACTCCTGACTGATCGAATAGAAATAGAGATAAGCACCGCACCATCAAATTCATAAAAAGAAGGGCGCTAAAATTGCCTACTCATGAAAGTGAAGGATGACCAATTATTTAACAGTGACAAACTTACCTTCCTATGTATATTATGTACCATTATTGTGTTTCACTGCTTGTAGGAAATAGCATGATATTTCGACATGATATAACTGCTGAATGAATATAAGGCACTGTACCCCATTACATATTCGGCGTTCATGCCAACAAGTTTTTTAGATATTTCAGTTTTTACAACTTTCTCACGACTTTCTGTGCCGGGGCCTTGTGGCTTCCAACCGATGAAGCATGGCCTTGAACTGTACTTTAGTACTGCATGCATTTGACTTGATTGACTGGTTCTGAACGATTCGTCCGTGTTTAGTTGCTACGACGCGAGTATGGTGACCTGCTCAGAGACATTCCTGAAGAAGGCTACAGCACATCGTTGGTCTATGATCTGTCCAAAATTCCGTCGGACTACACCGAATTGGTGCACAAAGCGGGTCTTCTGAAGCGTAACTGCTTTGCGAGCGTTTTCGAAAAATACTTCGATTTTCAAGAGAAAGGTGAGCTCGGTCATAAGCGAGCTGTCATTCATTACCGGGATGATGAGACGATGTGAGTTTCAGCGGCTGGACGGATTATTGAAATCTCAGTGGTCGATGTAAGTCCATAAATTAATTAATGTTTTTAGGTACGTCGAAGCCAGGTCTGACAGAGTGACCGTCATATTCAGCATCACATTCAAAGACGCGGACGACGTCGTCATCGGGAAGCTGTTCATGCAGGTATATGCTGATTCAGGGAATATCTGTAGAATCCGCATCTATTTTTGTATCAGCTGAGTCGATCGGTTCAACTAGAGCAAAAAGTACAGCTGTTCATTTGCGTGTAACAGGCAGTAAGGCGTTAATTTTGATCCTGACATTGAGTGTGGTTAAAACTCATTCCGTTGAAAATCCAACTTAACCAATATATTTACAGTATATACCCTGCGAAGGCTTTCCGTTAATGCATTGGCAGTAAAACTCCGTCGTAAGTTTCTTAAGCTGATTGAAAGTGACGAAGACAATGTATACAGCCTCGCAGGATTTCTCCCTTTTGGCCATCTAGTTTCACGAATGATGTTATTTCTTTATCATATACCTGACAGTGGAGAGATAGAAAGACGAATAAACTGTTTTCATGGTGCCTTCGGGAATTAGTTCAGATGGTGATATCTGATTTTTCTGGTTTATAATCAGTTTTTTCTGGTCAGCCTGACAACGCTTAACGATCTTGCTTCATTAGCTGGTCAGCATTGGTCGCTGTCCTGTCACCGTATCTGGAACCCGAGCTTATGGAAAGCTCAGATAATGTACAAGGTTGCTGACAGTGGCAGTGCAGGATTATAACGGTTTTATCTTCCACTTATTCATTAATCCCCCGACAGAGTAATCGCCTAG